CCACAATCTTTGGTTCCGGAGACCAACGCCTTATCCATTAGGCCACGGGAGCACATCTGTGAGCTAAAACTAGTGATGGGCCGAAAGTTTGCCGAATCGAAAATTCGGCGCCGAATCTAGGGATTCTGCGAAGGCGAACTTTTGCCGAACCTTTTTCAAGATTCAGCAAAGATTCGGCAAAAGTACATTGTCACCAGATCTAAATGTTGGTATTTCGTTTTTCCCGGCGTAAAACGATTTCTTTTAATGAATATTGACAAGGTTGTTACTAAATGAGCTGATATTGTACAATATGTTGGGGTTATATATAAATACCGAAATATGATTCTCACCTCTGTTATGCTACTTATATACAAGTCCCTTTTTTACACATACTACAACTATTGCTTTTCAGTATGGGGTAACACGACTGCTACAAATATTAAAATAATACATAATCTTAAAAAAAAAGCAATTCGAGGTTTATGTCATGCAGCATACGAAAGTCATACCAAGCCATTATTTCATAAATTTAATGTAGTGCAAATTTCAAATTACTATAGTTATAAGCTTGCACTTTCCTACAAAAGGTCTCTTAGACAGAACGAAAATCTGCTTCTATCAATTTCCCAACTTGAACTTAGACGAGGAAATTATCCAACTCGTAATGCTGAGATATGGATAATGCCACATTCAAGAACAAACTATGGGAATCAGATCTTAAAATGTACCTCCCCCATCGTCTGAATCGTTTTTATGAACTCGATATCTTCAGTATGTCCGCCAAACAAATATGTTCACTTTTTGTCTAATGGTTACTACCATGTAAAAAAAAAAAAAAAATAAAAGTTTAGTATAACACGATTCTATGCGTTTTGCGCGTGTTGTTATTTTTGACATACTTTTTCGTGTATTTTCTCTCTCCCTTTTGTTTAGATTCTTCTTTTTAGCAATATAGATGATGTTGTCGTTTCCATGCTATAATGAATATGTCAAATGCTAGTGTCTTCACATTTATGTTTGTTCTTCCCTGCAGGCTGCTATGGGGTGCAGAGGCTAGTCGAGCAGCGTGTCAGTTGCTTTTTACTCTGCCTCCTTTCTCTGATTCAGGGATCAATAAAGAATTTGAATCTGAATTTGAAATTTGAATATATTGTGTCGGTGTAATTTTTGTGCCTTAACTGGCAATTTTAGTGACTTTTTGCAGAATTGGTGTTACAACGAGGTTGGGGTGTAGCGGCGTAGCGGGCGCAGTCACGATACGCGAGTTTCGGTTTTGAGTCATCATCAGCGCAAGCTCTCAAGTGTGTACATTGTTGAAATGAAGGCGGTAACACTGTGCTCTTAGTTTTTCTGCAAGTTACTGGTTCGTGCGAGAAAATGAATGCAACGGCTGCTGAGTCTTCACCAGAAGAGATAATACTGCTATTGTAAATGTGCATGTTTTTTTTTTTTCGTATTTCAGTTATTTTAGTTTTACATGAAAGTGTGCGTCTCATATTCGCAACGTTTTGTTTTTGACTTTTAAAATTCCAGTTTCTGATGTTAGGACACACGCGGACGTTTAGGAGTTAGGAATGTCGGATGTGCAACGCCAAGCATTATAGTTCTGTTTAGTTTTATGCGGACAGAAGAAAACCGGCAAATAACGCTAATTAAAAAAACAATATTTTTTTTTGGAACAAACTGTTTGAGAGCCAAGGGTATGATTGCTATAATAGAGAGGAGTGCTTTAAAGTACTTGTCAGTCAATGTTGCAACCACCTCGTGCATCACTGGAAATATCAACTGAAAATCACATTATCCAGAATGAACCGCATCACTTGTCAATAATTGGGGTTGTGTAGAAATTTGTACAGCGTGTAGTTGGTCAGCCGTTTCAAAGCAGCGACGAGTCACTCGCTGTGGATAAGCAATTTAGCCTGTGCGGTACAACCGCTATTCTGAGGTCTTTAACGTGCACCACGCAGTAGTGATACGCTACCGCACGCCGGTACGATGCTCATCCAGATCGAAACGGGCAGGGGTGGGGATTGAGCCCAGGATCCCTGAATTCTGCAGCGCGAGCTTTCGCTCCACGTGCTCCGAGCTGGTGTGCGCTAGCCCACTCGGCCACCGATCCCCCCCATCATTTGTCAATTGCGCAGTAGACTGCGTCAATTCCTGGTTGCTCTGTTCTTGAGGCAGAAAATATTATGAAAACCACACTCACAAAGACTGACAAACACAGAGTTACCACATACTCCGCACCTCGAGGTATCCGCTGGTAATACTGCACTGTACGAATGAAACCGCACGACCGAACGGCGCCCATTTGTAATCCATGGCCCTGCGGCCCCGTCGTGTTCTCGCGCGTGCGCAGGCAATTGCCGAATTTTCGCCGAATCGTTTGCCGAACTTTCCTGCAAAAGTTCGGCATGAGCCGACTTTGCCAAATCTGAAGTTCGGCAGATTCGTTCCATCACTAGTTACAACAACCGGAGTTTGAGGAAAACATCGAATATGACATGCAGATACGCTGGTCCTTTCACATATTTCGTGTCATTTTACCCCTGTATGCATATTTCCAAACCCTCTGGTTTAAGAGTTCACCCAAAACACATTTCCAAAGTAATATGACAAGTGATATCTTGAACACGTGACCACCCCCTTTTTGTTTCTTTAATATTTTATAAAACATTATGTTCAAGGAGAAAGATGCGATTCAATTTGTGGTCCATTGTGTACACGGGCCACAATGCCACTTTTTTTCCCCCTTGTAGACTACACGACCGCACTTCTGCTAAGTTAATTCTCGACCTAAATGATGTGACCGCAACTTGATAAGTTAACGTCGGAAGGTGGTCACATCGCTCGTTTACACAAGTTAAGGTTTGAATTCGCGCTGTTTCTTTCGACAGAGAAGGTTGAAATGTCAGTAAAAGCTTACGATATCGCACGTGTATGCCAAAGTGCCCAGATGTCCACTTTTTCAGCTTTGGAACCCATGCACCGTTCAGGCTCTGGGATCAGGTTTTTTCCCTGCATTCTCAACCTGTCCTTGTTGATCCCCCGGCAACCGCAAGTAGCACATCAGAGGCACGCAGCCCGTGGCACTAAGGCTAGTTAGTACTAGAGTGGCATCCTAGCGTCCCAGGGGTACCATATACCTCATTAGACAGATATGTACTTGCTCTGGCTAGTCATTCAGCGATGAAATACTGAAGTCACTAGCCAAGTTTAAAGACAAATATGAAGAAAGAGTATCTCAAAGTCTAAAACAATACGCACAATTTTTCTTGACTATCCTCGCAGAAAATCCTGCGTGCATATTGCCACGCCATGCGCTCAAATCACTAAATGCCAATCTCCATTCAATGAACTTCACCAGCGAGGAGGACGCTCGGCATCGCACTCTAATGGCTATGCACTTTCAGTCGCAATGGTAATGCCACTGAGAGTGCATGACCGTTGAAGCACAGTGCCACTTTCTCACCGGGGAAGATCAATAACTTCCGAATTCAATGCAGGGCAGTATCTATGGAGTTCAGGAGTGTACACCAAGGTGCTTTAGTATTTATTTAGCGGAGCAATTCAGGGTTCATACACACCTGTGTGGTTCCACCAAACCTTTACTAAGCGCAGGTACAAGTATTACTCGTTTCCGTGCCTTGATTGCTGCGAATACCGGCAACAATATAAATTACTAAAGCAATGTTTTTTTTTGTTTTTTTTGAGAATGCGAGATTCCTTAAATCATCCAAAATGTGTTCTCGTTTTTTGTCCACTTTTCGTCCCCAGCCTTTGGTATTCAACATGTTCAACGTTCACCAGCTCGCCTGCATATTCTCTGTTATTTCTATCGTTCGATTACTTTTTCCCTTGTACCGCTACTGCCGCGCCCCACGCACAAGCTCTCTTGGCTTATGTAGGCACTAAGCTTTAAAAAATATGACAGCGACCTTTATTTTCAAAGTTCTACAATGCATGAAATGCAGTATTTAAGTTCCAATCGATTAAAATTAATTAGAAGACATAAAACCGTCGTTTCGGGGAGTGAAGAAGAGCCTTTATTTGTTTTTTTATCAATTTCCCCTCTAAATTTAGCAAGGAAACTAAATTGGAGTACAGGTCACGTGTCTAAAGTTTTCCTGGTGATTTATTGGGGAAATTTCATTGATGCATCTATCAGATGTAGTCGGGTTACGTGCCACCAATTTTCCCGCTAAATTTAACGAGGACTCTGAAGGTTTGTAAGTCACATGAAATTGATTTCCCCGCCACATTTAACGGGAAAGCTGAAATTGTGTATAGGTCGTGTTACATCAGGTCGCGTGGCGTCAATTTTCCGTTAAATTTAGCGGGGGAAACTACTTCTGTATAGGTCTGGTGACGTCAGGTCGCGCGACATCAAAGTTCCCGCTAAATCTAGCCAGGAAAGCGAATTGGTGTATAGGTCACAGACGTCAGGTCAATTTACGTCAATGTTTCCGCTAAATTTAGCAAGGAAGCTATAGGTCACGTGACGTCAGGTCACATGACACCAATATTTCCTTCCGAATTTGGCGGGGAAACTTAATTGGTGTGTAGATCACGTGACCTTAGGGCACGTGACATCAATTGACATCACGTGACCTTCTACGCCAAATTTAGCGGCAAATTCACGGACGGACAAACTTTTGGGAATGGGGAGGCGACCTAATAAATTGTATTGCCTGTTGTAATTCTCCAGATACGCTCCGCAACCCAGGGCCGATATGTCCCACGTTGGGGTCTGAGAAATATGGTCACGAAATGTCCGTGCTTTTTACCTTGGTCGCTTCACTTCATCTCAGTGGGGGAACTTGACTGCCGTGGTTCTCAAGCATGGATGTGTCGGGGACACCTTGGGAACCCGCCAATGTGGTGTGAGACGCCATGCCAGTGGGGGAAGGGGAAGGGGGGGGGGGAGTGTATAAAATAAGACAACTAATTGCAGTGTGAACAGGGCACCCTTTACTGTTAGAGACAGAAGTGAGGAGCATAAAGTAAAATGATGAATGGAAGGATAATGGTAACGGGTGTACCCTTTGTAACGGGCTCTAGTTTATTAATGTAGAAGGAAAACCCTAACAAAAAAATAATACGGAGCCCGACGCTTCAAGGCCAGTTCGGCCCCCTGTTGACTGTTTTCGTTCTTGACGTCGTCTTGCCAATTGCCCGGTGTTGTTGGCTTCTTTAAAGCGGCCGTTGTTTCTGTACGTGTTATGGTTCGTAGCGCCCCGCGTGACGGGCCGTAAGCCGGAGACTTAGGCGCTTGGAAGTGTCCCAGTTGACCGGTTGACGTTATTTTCGGTGTTTTGAATGTACCAGGACACCAATAAAAGGCGTCTTCGCCAGTTTCTTTCCGGGCCAAGAATAGAGCTGTCGTTGAATCCGATCGTGTGACTCTCTTTCTGGACGTGTTCTGCCAGCGCGCTACCTTGCACGTTATTATTTTTGGCGACATCGACGTGCTGACATCGACGTTCCGAGAAGTTTTTAGTTCCACTAACGTAGGAGGCGGGACAGTCACCACAGGGGATCCTGTAGACATGTTTCTGAGCCTTTTCTTCTAGGGGGACGATCCTTTGGAAGAGAGAACAGGCGTTCAATGGTGGACATCAGTTTATGACTCACACTGACGACGTATTTTCGTAAAATGAGCGCGAGTTTCGCTTAGATTGTTGCTGCCAGGCCCACTCGCTTGTTGCCAGTGGGCCTCGCAGCAACTGTTCCATCAAGATGCCAAAGTTTTTCATCGTCTCGTTTCAGCTGCTGCTCGCTTTCCTGGTCCCGTCATAGCCTACGCCAACCGGCAACGGGAACACTATCATCGGCTGCAACATTAAATCGTCTACTTCCGTGGAACCTGATGGAACAACGTACTCGTCATCAGAAGCCTACTCTTTGTGGGTTGTGCCAAAGAACGTGTCCACTGCGGCGCCGTTTCCTACGGTGCCGTTACGAATCAGCCTATCTACTTCTACCACCACTGCGACCTCAGCGCCACCGAGAAGAAAAGTGCCTGCTTCCGTCAACTTTGTCAGTGGGCCTGGCAGCAACTGTTCCATCAAGATGCCTAAGTTTTTCGTCGTCTCGTTTCAGGTTGGCAAATTTGAATATCTTGAATTCAAAGCCAATGACTTGTGTTGTTTTGTGCTGCCGGGCCCCAAGGTATGCTTTGAGCTGTATCTGGAATGTATTAACCTGTACAAAATTGCCTGTGCATCTATTTCTACATGTGTCGACAGTGTTAGATTCAGGGTGCTCTTACTCCTTGGTGGCGATATTGAATCTAACCCTGGACCAATAACCAAAGAGCAAGAAGCTCTACGAACTAAGGTTCTTGATATTGTAACGACACTCCAGGCAGGCCAAAATAACATCTTTCAGGAAGTTAGAAACATAAAAAATAAAACAAAGCGGCTCCGAAGAATCACTAACTGCGGTCACAATACGGGTCAACCAGTTATAAAATGACCTTTCCGCTACCAAATCAACTGGCGTAAACAGCAGCGTCAGTTCTGCTCACTTGACGGAGTCGGCTGCCGTCGAGATTTCTCAGCTCAGAACACGCTGTGATGACGCTGAGAGCCGAGCGCGCCGTGCTAACCTTCTTTTCTTTGGCTTCTGCGATACTGAGAGAGAGACTTGGGTGCAATCCAAGAAGGCTGTCCTTAATGTATTCCTCAAAAGACTAGGTTTACAACTTCCCGCGTCATGTATCGAAAGAGCTCATCGCCTTGGCCAGTTCAATCAACACCGGTGTCGCCCAATTATTGCTAAAATGGCTTCTTACAAAGATAAAGAGGCGGTGCTTTCAAATGCCTATAAATTCAAGGGCACCAACTTCTCAGTAAGTGAAGATTTTATCCCCTCGGTGCGTCTCGCTCGGCGTAAACTGCTCCAGTTTGCGAGAACAGGGGGACAGTCCTTTTAAACTGCAGTTCGACAAGCTACTAACTGGGAACAAATGCGATGTCTATGTATCTGCCTCTGACTGTTATTGAAGTGAACTCCCGGGAGCCAGAGCACACTTCATTTGAACATAATAACAGAGCTTCCAACTCTCGTTCAACTTCTCTGTCACACTTTAATTTGCCCTCCACGTAATGCCTCTAATCCCAATCAAACTCCGCAATAACATGCAGCGAGGGGTGGAAGCTGTGTTGTTATCACGTCTAATAATACTATTCCTGTTATTTTTACAAACATCAAAAGCGTCATGGACAAGAACGATGACTTATCTTCTATCATTGATTCCTCTAATGCTGACTTTGTTGTTCTTACTGAACCTGGTTATCCGGCAAGATACGTAATAGCAAGATTTTAAATTGTCAGAAATATTTTAATATATACCTTCATGACAGGGCTGAAAGAAACGGTGGCGGCGTATTGATTGCGGTATCGGCAAATATACCGTCATTCATGTCAACGTGCCTGAATTGGAGCTAGTGTTGGGTTGGTCTCAACCTAAAAAAAACAACAAGAAATACATTTTAGGCGCGCGTTATCGCCCTCCCGATAGAAGTGACACTCTTGTTTCTAAACTTTACATTGCAATCAACACGGTCATTGTTCGCTTTCCAAATGCTCCAGTCATTCTTTTGGGTGATTTTAATTATCCTTCCATAGTTTGGTCAGATGTTTCTACCCATCTTAGTTCCTTCTCGTCTGAGTGTAAGGAATTCGTGAACTTGTGTATTGATTTTAATTTCTCACAAATGGCTAACCAACCTACGCGTACTGATCCTTCGACCTGTTCTGTTTTAGACCTCATCTTAACAACATCGCCTGAGCTCATCTCTTCTTTAACTCATTTGACACGTCTTAGTGATCATTTGTATTGCATTTTCCTTAGATCTACCTACATGCTTTCTGATTATGCACGAGCTGATTTTGATTCCATAAATAGGAACCTTTGCCTTTTCCTAGATTCTGGATTGTTTTGATCAGTGCTCAGTTCAGAATAACTGGTGTTTATTTAAAGAACAAGCTGCGTACCTCATGAAAGCGCACGTGCCACTTCGCACTATCTCGCCCTCTCTTGAATCGCCTTGGTATAACGTGTTTTTAAAAAGGCTAGCAAGCAAGAAAAAAAGAATATTTCGTGCTGCAAAGCTATCGGACAACGAACAGCGATGGTCAGCGTACCGTACTGCAGCTGGTCTGTATAAAAAAGCACTTCTAGATGCGAAATCCCATTGTTTTAATAATAGGTCCCCCTCCTTGTTGTTAAATAATCCGCGTCAATTTTGGAAAGTTGTTAATCCCTCTTTTTCTTCCAATATAACGTTTAGGGATGCTGATGGAGATGAATTATCCAATGATCAGTGTTCTTTCGTTTTAAATGAAGTGTTTACTAAATCTTTCTCTATTCCAGTTAGTTCCTGTTTCCCTGTATTTGTAGCCTGTGATTTTTTGCCTATGTATTTTGTTGTTGTAGATAGTGAAGGAATTGCTAAGATTATTGATAACCTCAAAATATATTCTGCGGTAGGTACTGATAACATTAACACAAAATGCTTGAAAAACACTAAAATGTATTCTAGCATTATCCTGCCCAATCTCTTTCTCAGTCACTTAACATGGTGTCTTGCCATTGGATTGGAAGGTGGGGAAAGTGGCTGCTGTACAGAAAGTTGGCGATAAACAAAATCCATCTAACGACCGTCCCATTTCCATAACGAGTATACCATGTAAAATCCTTGAACACGTAATTTACTCTCAACTTGCAAACTTTCGTGATTCTAAATCTTTCCTTAACACATCACCACATGGTTTTTGGAAGGTTTACTCACGCGAAACCCAACTTCTTACCTTTACTCATAATCTCCATGTCACACTTGACCAGGGTTCCAGAACTGACTGCATATTCCTTGATATTTCCAAAGCTTTTGACAAAGTTCCTCAAGCCCTTCTTCTCCATAAACTTAGTAGCCTTAACATCTGCCCATACATTCTCGCTTGGATAGACGCCCTTCTGACTGACCGTCTTCAGTTTGTCCACGCCCAACGGAACTAATTCTCCATACTCGCCTGTCAACTCCGATGTCCCACAAGGTTCTGTACACGGTCCACTACTATTTCTTATTTATATTAATGATCTCCCTACCCGTGTCTCCTCTTCTATTAGCCTTTTTGATGATGACTGTGCCATGTACAAAGAAATCATTAACGACACCGACATCTCTGCTCTTCAGACCGATATTAACAATGTAACCCTATGGTGCAACTGACTGGCTTCTGGAACTTAATATCTCTAAATGTAAATCCATGTGTGCCTCTCGTCAAATTAACATTTGCCCTTCCTACTCCATCAATACCTCTACCCTTCTTCCTGTGTCCTCCTATAAATACCTCGGTGTTCATATTTCAAATGATCTATTCATGTCTACTATGTCACGAAAAACGCTAATCAATTATTAGGATACACCAAAAGAAACTTTTTCCTTGCCCCTCTTTGATTAAAGATTTTAATTTATACAACCTTAATTCACCCTAAACTTGAATGTGCCGCCTCAATCTGGAACCCTGGTATCACCCTTGCATCTGCCGTAGAATCTATTCAAAACCGCTCCGCCCGTTTTATACTTTCTAACCATCATCACACAGCTAGCACCACTTTAATGAAAGCATCTCTATCCTTGCCCACTCTTTCTCTTCGTCGAAAGATATCCCGTCTATGCTTGTTCCACAAGATATATCACTTTAACCCCACTCTCCGCCAAGCACTATTTTCTGAATCATATCATCACGCACCGATTATCAATTAAAAGTTGGGATCCCTCGTTGCAGCACATCTACCTTTAATGCCTCTTTTTTGCCTCAAACCTCGATTGACTGGAACCGCCTTCCCGCAGCCAATGTCGCGATCACCGCCTCAGATATATTTAAGATTGCCATTACTAACCTGTTACATGATGTTTAGTAGTATTTTTTGTTGTATTTTTTGCCTTTTCACTGTTATTTGTTTTATTCCATGTACTGTGCCATTAGTAACGTGTTAAATGATGTTTAGTAGTTATTTTGTTATTTTTTGCCATTTACTTGTTATTTGCTTTGCTCCATTTACTGTGCCCCACTCCTCTCTGTAATGCCTTCGGACCCTGAGAGACATAATAAATGAAAATGAAATGAAATGTAGGGGACCCATACGCGGTCGGGAGGAGGGGGGGGGGGGGAGGGGGCGTGTTCTGTTCTATTGTGTCTAAGTTTTTGTATATGTTGTTAAAAAAAGTGAAAGCCGTTTACAACTCCCTGTAACACCGAATTAGAGCGCAGCTCTTGAGGAGGAGGAGGGAAGGGTACTGGGGGGTGAAGTGACCTGGGGGGTCACGTGACCTTGGGGGTCACGTGACCTTTGGGGGTCACGTGACGATGCCGATGATGTCATCAGTGACGTCACTGATGACGTCATCAGTGATGATGCCGATGCGGATGCCGGTGAGGTCATCAGTGACGATGACGATGCGGACTCCGATGACGTCATCAGCGATGATGACGATGCCGATGTGGATGTCGGTGACGTAATCAGTGACGTCACTGATGACGTAATCCGTGATGATGACGATGACGATGCGGATGCCGGTGACGTCATCAGTGACGTAACTGATGACGTCATAAGTGATGATGACGATGCGGATGCCGGTGAGGTCATCAGTGACGTCACTGATGACGTCATCAGTGATGATGACGATGACGATGCGGATGCCGGTGACGTCATCAGTGACGATGTCATCGGGGAGGTCACGTGACCTCGGCGGGGGGTCACGTGACCCTGGGGGTGGTCACGTGACCTCGGAAGGGGGGGTCACGTGACTTCGGGGGTCACGTGACCTTGGGGGTCACGTGACCCTGGGGGAGGGGTCACGTGACCTCTGGGGGTCACGTGACCTTGGGGTGACCTTGGGATGACCTTGGGGTCGCGTGACCTTGGGGTGATCTTGGTTACGCCGACGCCGACGCCGCTCAAGCCGGGAACGGGCCCCTAAGAGCTGTGCTCTAAAACCTGGCAGGACAACCGCTCTGTCTCAGGTCGTGTTTGATCGTTGTGACCTCTTAAAAGCTTCTTCTGTGGAGCACACAGTAATTGCTCGCCTGAAGAGTGCGGAAGACACAGAAGATTTGTGCGTTGCAGTGTGGTAGGACGAGAAGTTCAGGTGTTGGCCGCTGTGTGTCGCTTTTCTGTAAACATCGAATGTCAAACGGTTGGACTTTCTCTTTGTGAGCACGCCCAAGAATGGAAGGGAACCGTCAGACTCCAGCTCAGTTGTAAATGGCATCGTTCGATGAAGAAGTGGTGGTGAAGGTTGTTGATTTCGCTGGTTTTGACCACACAGAAATCGTCGACATACCGTAAGAACAAGGTAGGTTTCGAGGCGAATGTCTCTAAGGCTTGCCGCTCGATCGCCTCCATCATGAGGCTAGTCCACGGTGACAGAAATTGCTGCACCCATTGCCGTTCCACTAGTTTGTTTGTAGAATCCTACGACGGAGAGAACACACTGGCACGCTGGCGCCATCTACGAAGAGACACTAGAACTGCATTTCACTGGAGCGAAGGTATTCCGGTATTTGAGAGATCAAATTTACGCACCATCTATGAGAAATGGCCGTTTATAACATCGTCAAAAGTTTTTCAAAACAGAAGAGAATGGCGCGCGAAAGAAAGAAATACATATATACATGCCTGGTTAATATGGACCCTGTTAACATGAATACCCCGCTATATGGACACCATTTTCGGGGACAAACTGAGAGAATGCGTGCATTTTTGTCTCGTTTTTATGGACAACTCACATTATGGACGATTTTTCGGGGGAACGAAGGCACACCGAGACATCACTGTATATGGAAGTACCAAGTGTTCAACGGCTATCCGATTAACGGCGTCAGTGTGTGTTTTCCTCGTAAGCGATTTTAAGAGGCGTTAAGGCACACGGTCCTACACAGTCTCAAGTGCATGAACGGGCCTGTAGTTGCACGGCACCTACGGCTTCGTACACGGGCTGGTATTTGGAGGGATAAATAGATACGGCTGAACCCCTGTAGTCAGGCGGCGCCTTAAGCCACCTAGCCAAAGCTTCTAATTTCAAAAATCAACTAATCTCCAATTAAAAGAAAAACAGTAAGGTTAAGCCTTTCAACAGTATATTTGAAAATGAGAAACGAATGGAGCATGGTAAAGAAACCCCTATCGCTGCTAAGCACCATAGATATTTCGAAAATATTCACGGCGCCATCTGGCGGGCAAAAAGGAAAACTTGTGCCCGACAGAACTTCGAGTTACAGCTTGCTCTTTCATTGTTGTAAATATTGAAAACAGTGAAAACTATCGATGAAAGCGAAAACAGGTGCGTAGACCTCCGAATTACCACATAGCGCGCAAAGCACCCTAGCTTGTTGCACATTCGACAGGTCTCGCACTGTAAACTTTACCGCAAAACAGATCTCTCCGCAACGTCGTTGGGTGCTGCTCTGATAACCTCTGCGAGAATATAAGATTTCACGATTAAAGCTAATTTCCTAATTCCCACATTTTGAGGGCCTTAATATTACCACCCAGCTCTCTGAAACTGCAAAACAACAACGGAATACTTTCGCGAGCCGCCATGCGCACGGGAAACATACCAGTGATGTGATTGGCCCATTTTGAAGCACTGTTTGTAATAGAAAAAATATATATATCATTTTAAAGCAAAAAAAAAAAAATGCACAAGCATATTTTACTTTCGATACTGTGTTAAGATTTATGTGTTGGCCTGTCCAAATAAAAGACACCGCCTTCCTTGTTTTACCACTCCTCTGCTACAACACGCTAGCATTCCTTCCAGAGCACAGATTGATTGCAACAAACATTCAACGAGTTTAGTTGCATTTAAAAAGCATGAGACACAATAACATGAATGTTGTGACAAGATGCATATCCATAGCGCCAGTTACTTTTGAAACACATGCTGAGTGATGAAGGACACTGAGCATGGGTGCCAGTGAATAGTCACTTTAGGAATGAAATTAAAGTACAAAGGTAAGCCGAACATTATTCCTTTAAAATAATGGCAGAACCCCCTCCCACATCTCTCTGATGATCTATGGGAGTGGTTCTCAAACATTTGGCCATCGCGGACCTCCTGACCCACTCGGAGGGCGTTCGGGGACCCTCAGTGCATTCTGCATCAGATGTCTTGTGCGATAGCATAAAAAAAAACGTTTTAAGGTTTTTTTTTTTTTTTTTTTCTTTGCGCGAGTTGCTTTTTAGATTCCTTGGGGTACGAGGACCAGTTTGAGAATCGCTGATCTATGATATGCTCAGTTCCTATACGTTTGTAAAGCATATGAAGTGAGAATTACGTATGTTCGGTATTTGTTGTATTTCTTTGTGGTGTTGGGAGTAACACAGGCTGGAGCAGGAGGGCATGCGCAAAAACACCGACAAATCATAACAAAAAACAATACGAAAAAAAACAAAAAAAAAAACACAACGCCCCTGGTGGGACTTGAACCCACAATCTTTGGCTCCGGAGGCCAACGCCTTATCCATTAGGCCACAGGAGCACCATAAACGAGGCCAAATATAGATATTTTTATCTTTCAAAACCGTTGTTTTTCCGTATCCGGTGGATTTTTCACGTCTATGTGGCACGTGTCGTCTCAAGTTCTGATACGCACCACACATCATAATTTTCTGCGCGCGGTACTTCACACGCGCACACGCCTGCACGATTGTTCTGTGTCCGCGCCACGGAAACTTGCAAAACAGTGCGGCTAGTAGGTACTACACGCACGCTTGGCGGTGTGGCAACGAAACCAAATCCGCTCCCCGCTAAACATTGGCATGACACCCCTCCGGATTGTCCGGAAACCCGTTCCAAAAGAAAGACCTAGCACATAGCAACAGATGGACCGTCGATCCCGGGCGAGCAGTAAACAAACCGAAATGACAACACCCTTAGACACGGGAGTTGAAGTCAGTAGTACAAGGTACGGTTCGATAAGCAGCAAATTAATCGAAACGTAAGCATGACAGAAAACTCTGAAAACGCAAGCCACGTCACCATCATACTGGAACTTGCGATCACCGTGAATCCAAGGAGAGCTTTCGAGAACCCCATCGAAACTTCTTGACTGCAAGTTGAAACTCAGCGAGTTACACGGTTATCGTCGCGCATGAACAGGACGACCTTTCACCACGTTAGCTGCGAAGAATCGGACAAGTATGCCACGCTAACTGAAGCAGTGAGCACTTCGCCATATTTGCGCCTTCTCTTCGCAAAATCCCTACTAAGTCACCAGAACTCCCTAACCCGAGACAGTAAGTACCTATGAGCGCTTAACTAAAGCTAAAACAAGCAAATTCAGTGTCCGTGCTGCCGGTTCGTCGCAGAAGCAGGGTTTAACTCTCCCCCAAAAGCAGGACAAAAAATAAAATGAGATTAATGCTATAAAAAAAAAAAAAAAAAATACCGCACTGAAACAGGCACCGACGTTATATTCAGCTGCTCCGAAATCCTTCCGCTATAACTTGCCTGAAAATATTTACTTTGAGTTGATCCCATTCTACATACAACGTCAGACTGGTGCAAGGGAGTTGTATCGATAACTGTGTGCGCTCGCGATCTTAAAAGAACACCCGTTAAAGAAATCTCTACATAAAAGCAGAGCTAGCGATATATTCGCGATGCATAGGGTTTGCTTCCCTGCAGAACCACAGCACGGAGCAGGAAATCGCCCTCTCCTCTCCACTTTTAGGAGAGGAGAGGAGAGGTTTCGCCTATTCCTCCAGAGATGGCGCCAGGCCCACACAGTTTTGCCAAAACTTGCTGGCGCGACTTATTTGAAAGCATTTTTCGAGCTTAAGGATTTAAACGTTATTTGTGCACATTATTGCTAGGATATCGATCCTAGTTTGTTATGCAGCCGATTTATAGGGGTATATAAATCAGTATCTTCGATGCATTGAGATTTTCTGTGAGGATGGAACTAGATTGCCGATGACGAAAGAGCAAAAGCACAGGCAAGATGGCGAAGGATATCCATATTGCAACATGGGACGCTGTTTGTGGCTGTCCCTTTTTTTCTATATTCGTCCGAGTGTCGGATTATATATGAATAGTCAATGTATGATCTTCACGTTTTATAAAATGGCGTTGACCACCTGGTTGTCAAGTTACACAAAAAAAAAAATATATACATATGCTGTTTTCTATAGACGAAACTCATTTCTGCAAAAATCAAGAAATACCCAGGGGGCTGCTATGGCTTTCATTTTAACAAAACATACAACAATATATTTTCTGTTCTTCTATGTTTCATGATTTCATGACTTGAAAACATATCCCGTTCATCACCCAATTACCTCTTGGTAAAATAGCCACACGGTCAAGACACTGATTCGTGAGGTCCACTATACCGGTAGTCAAATATTAATCGCCATTATTAATCACCGTCAATATAACTAATGCGGCCGACGCATAAACGGCCCAGATAATTTCAATAACATTACGCAAATGAAGTTTATATACACGCATTAGATGGGAAACCGTTCACGAAGCGAGCTGTATTTTTCATAATTAACCGGGTCATTTCTTCACGAATGAAGAAACGAGTACTCTGTTTTTTTCAGGCTCTCGGGAACATTATGCTCGTGTAGACGCTCAGGAGAGGCGCAAATAACGTTCTGTTGATGCATTAAAAATGCTGTGGCAAATTTGGTGTAGAGTTTGTGACTCTTTTTAATTGCGTCGTGTGATGTGTAATGATCGAGGAACATGAACAGATTATTTCGCCGTAGCCTTACTAGTATATATACATACCTTCGAAATAGGATTCACGCGAATGCGACATCGGCGCTTTCTGAGCATTTGCTCATACAGGTGGTTGACGAGTCCGACCACGAAATGTTTATCACCTAAATGACCGAAAATTTACACGATATCCGATACAGAAGTCCATTGCAATATTACTTTGAACATCGAACCACGCGTGGGTATTTATGGTACATACTTCGCAAATTGTCCTTTTACAACACCATATTGGCGATTAAATGCACTAAATATTCGTGTGTTCTTTTTTTTTTTTTTTTTTTCAGAACTAGCGTGGAGCGATTTTTTTTTTTTTATGTTCTCGCTGGCACGCGTACATTTTACCGACGCTTGTATTTTCGTTGATAAAGTTTTTGTTGTGAAGATAAAACCAGAATGAACTGGCGATCGCCTCTTAGTACTAACTGTGTGGCGTTCCGTACCGGTATGCCTTTCAGGCGGACAGTGATTGTTCAGAGGAAATTTCTATTCAGCATCAATTTTGTCATTCCTGAGCCCAATGTTTTCTTGTGCGTGAAACCTTCCCTCGATGGTCTGCTGGCGGAACAGAATCCGTGCACTGGCCTTGGCAGTCAAGAGCATGACGCCCAAGTTGCGGGAACTCTCCCAATTACACCTGTTTACCTATATTGTCGTAGGACACACCTGAAGTGATATTCAGCGTGATTCGTCGAGTTGCAAACATATGCGTTTTACAGGGTGTCCCAACAAATATAGTTTACAGCGTTCTTTTCACCACCGAAGTACACTACGCATCGCCCAACGCTCATTCTGCGCCCAAATATAGCGGTCTGAACCAGCAGTCAAAGTTTCGAAACTAACCGGTATCTCATCCAAAAGTATAACTGATATAATTGATTTGGGGAAATTTTCGATGGGGAAAATGGTGACCGTCGGAGCTCTCGAATACTCTGAATGACGACAGTTCCCGAAAACGGGCGCAAACGGGCGCAAACGGGCTCCATTTTCCCATTGAAATTTAAAAAAAAATCACTGCTAACTTTTGGATGAACGGTTCAGTAGGGGTTCGTGGGTCTTGCTGCGCCGTCAGGGTTGGCAGGTCCGGACGGGGTGACAAACTTCGCTGCGGGAAGCTCTGCGGTTCTTGCGTCGGAGACCAAGTTGCTTCCCTTGGCCGTCGAAGTGGGGGATACTTTCCTATAAATAATTTAATTTGTTGCAAGCAAAGTCCCTCTGTTGCTAACGGCCCACCCGCGGAGCCGTTGCTGATCCTTACAGGTATACGTTCTGAAACTTTGGTATCTGGTTCAGACCTCTAGCGCTACATTGGAGTGGAGAATGAGTATTTGGTGATGCGTAATTTATTTCTGCAAAAAAAAAAAAAATTTTTTTTTTTTGGTGTTACGTTGTACATAAATTTTAGCGCAATTCATGCACACACCCCAACCTTTCGAAAGAGGCTGAGCTATCTCTGATGAGTGGTATAATCGCGTGCTTGTTCAGAGACGTTGTGCGAGTTCGTGCTGATTTGTCCTTATACACCGTTCAACGTTTACAAAGTCAGCAAAGTGAAAATTGTTGTGCGTATGTTTATACAGCCGGAAGTTAGTCTGCCTCAGTGGGCGTCTGGTGTCTCAGCTGTAGACAAGCAATTTAGCCAGTGCAGTACAACCGCTAACCTGGGGTCTTTGACGTGCACCACACAGTAGTGATACACGACCGCACGCCAGTACGATGCTCATCCAGATCGAAACGGGCAGGGGGCAGGGATACAAAGTCAGAGCTCAACGTACGTTCGTTATAGTACAGCACACGCATTATCGTCGCTTCGGAAAGCGCGCAAAGCATGCGCCGTACGTATACGAACGCTGAAAATGACTCCGGCCAAATGCCTCTTTCTATAGAATGGTCTATATATCGTGACGTCGTGGCGCTCTCGCGCTTCACGTCAAGCAGTTGGTGTGAACATAAGGCAGGCGTTCATGACAGGGAACTAGACCACTCAAAAATAAAGCCGACGTGCTCTACCCTGTTTCTAATGCCCTGCGGTGCCCTCACCTATAGCGCTCTCGCTTTCTAATGGTCATCCTAGTGGAAAAGTGGACTTTCCTTCTGTCGCTGGAACAGACGGATACCCTCCCTCCCCCCCCCCCCCCCACACACACACACACACGCACACAATAAGCACACACACACATACTCATACTGGCCAAAAGCTGGGGAGATCCATTATTGGAGCTCCGAACGTACCGCGGGGCAGCGTACCACTTCTGAGCGTATCCAAGCTGTCTACTTTTTCGCACAGCACGAAGCGGCTCGTTGTGTCCTTGCGACAGACGGGTGGAGATGGGAGAACGACCGAAGCAAGCGCACCAACAAGTACGGATGCTGCGCGCGCGCAGGAACCTGATTCGCATCAACTGCCAGCGCATCCGCCGACACCGCCCCAGCGGCGTGACGTCATGCGCACGAACGTCATGCTCACTCAGCACGGGTCGCAGTCCAGAGGTTGTCCCTCGCAGCAGCCGGTTTCACGAGTGGACTCCACGTGTGTTGGGTGGGGATGTGGACGACGAGGGGTTGGGGGGGGGGGGGGTGTTCATACATAGCTAAAGTATATCAGGTTGAATGCGGTGGGTGCGGTGTGGGGCCTGAGAGTACTGAAAAATAAATGCTTAGTATGCTGCACTCGAGCGAATGGTCATGCTTCTACGTTCCCCAAAGAGTGCGGAGAGCTACATGTCGTAATCTTTCGCGGAACTCAGCAAATTACACTCTAAACGGGCTTCCTTAACTGCAGTTAAGTCTAGCTAAGGTTATACTAACTGCAGTTAATTCCGAGTTACACGGCAGGCCACACTGCGGTTATCCCGCTAACCATAGTTTGCATACACTGAGCTTGGCAACCTCAGTTTGGGCTCACTAACCCCGTGCTTGTCTAACTGACAAGATAGCGCTTGAGTCAGCAGCGTGCGCCGCGGGACCATGCAAAGCTCTTTTGAAAAGCGTGTGAACTGACCTGTGGCGACCACAGTGGTCTTGGTACGTCGTGGTAAGGTAAGGTAAGGTAAGGGGGTAAGGTTTAAGCTTGATGGCTACCCACGCTGTTCAAAACGAGAGATACCAGGACACAAAAAAAAAAAAAAAAACTTTTGTTCATGACTTGAATGGCGAACAATTTTCCCAGTGACCATGCCACAGTTCTTGACAAGTTCTGTCGCCTGGGCCGCATCCAACACGCCGTCAGACTCAGACCTCAGTCTTGTGTTCTGTTTTTATGCTGGCAACGCTGTATATATCATAACGTCATCTGGTAACAAATCACTGACATGAAAAAGAAGCACTTTTCGTTCAAGGTTCAAACGGATTGGTCGGCCCTTTCTTCATGTCCTCAAGACACCACATATTGGCGACGAGTGAAGACAGGTTGAGGAACCCTGTCGGACCTGCTACTGCCTGCTGTGATCTCT